ATTTCTTTGATTTACGCCAGCTGCATGCTGTCCTTTGGGAATAAAGCTATGAATAAAGAATTAATCCAACGACAAAGAAAACTTGTCAGATACATAAGAAAAGTACATCTTTCGCAGGATATTCCTTCCGTTCCCAGCTGACACTCGCACTTGCATCCGTCCGTTACGTCAACTGTTCTTCCAAAATTCTTGCAAATGGCTGATTGACAGGATAAATCTAGACGCTCAACATGATGGCGATTCGTGCAGCAAATTAATAATCGTACTTGAGACAACGGTGCCTTTGAAACCGAAATCTGTGAACGCAAAATCGGACCGGAACACCATCAGCAAGTTCGGCTCAGTTGCGAAAAGGATTCTAGGCAGACTGCTGATTTCGCAAGCCCTGAAAAAACACCCCTCAAATAAACATCAGATGCTGCAGACTGCTTACAGTTTCCAATGACTTCCGGTGTTGTTACTGAAAATCTTGTAAATATCGATGTAATCCAAATTACACTCGCTGTCTTCCTCTAAATTCAGTGAATCTAATTTCAGCCCTACTGGATAAGGCGGTTGACCTCTGATCAGATACCAGCACTGACAATAAAAAATTAGATTACAGCTTATCAATACCGCGAAACTTACGTCAGAGTCATCCGGATAATATTGAGGATGTTTAGGTGAAGAAAATTTATCCCCTATAAAGTATTCGCCGCCACATTTGCCTGAAAATTTACATTATCAAAGACACGCGTTCATCAGACTAAAGCTTTACGCAGTTTGCAGCGTTCACCGCCAAAGCCGGCACGACACATACAAAAGCGAGTTTTATTCTTGACTTCACAAACACCGCCATTTAAGCAAAATCCTGGAGGGCATTCTATGCTTGTTTCACAATACTGACCAGTATAACCTGCAAGCAACTAACTGTACTATGAAGTAATTTGAAAATGTATCAGTTACCCTCTGGGCATATACATGTTGCAAGCCTATTGGTGACACTGCAATAACCAGATCCACAACGATAGTCTTGACACAGTTCAGTTTCATTTACTAAAAGGACATATTTTAACTTGCATCGAATTTATCATCAAATGTCATGCTGATCACAATACGGCAAGAAACGCTGAATTCAACAGCGCACATGATAAGTCAGAAACAATCCTTCAGACGTATCTAGCAAAGCAGACGAATAAACTCACGATGCTGATTTCTTTTCATGGCTCCTAATAATTCTATTCATGCTGGCATTATCTACTCCAGAGTAGTTACGTGTATTCACCGAATCCTTAAGCATTCTCTGATGTTGCTTTGTTTCACCAGCCTTCATCATAATTGTAAACTGCTGACCAATGATCAAACATATGTAACGCGTCAGAATATCGACGCAATATTTCGAATGCAGCAGAGCGCTAAACTAGAGAGCGAAATCTGACTCACCGATATTCCTTGCCTATCTTGCTTGAGCAGTCATGTCGGCGAACAGCTAAAAACCATAACTGACACTGCCTATCTCAATTACCGTAAGCGAGAGCATTTATTCTCTTCCGCCAAAAATCTAATGCCACCTTTTTCGACGACTTTCTTTAACTCGACCTTTATTATTCATCACATTACACCTGGATTATACCTATTTATACGTGATCAGATTCGCTTTCCGAAAAGAGACGAGAAACTGACTGAACTTACGAAACGTTGCCTCCGTGGGAAGGAGACGTTTGAATAGCAAGGTAAGTGATCACCTATGCGGTGAGGCCACAGCGGACTGCGTCGTGCCGGTGTAGGTATCCTCTTCGCCAAGGGTAATCAGGAATTCATTTCTCTCGCAGGTGTCAGAGAGCATCCTGGTTTCATGTGTATATGTCAAACAGGCAAAACTGAATGTCGGCTATGCTCCAACGGACGGACGTGTCAAGCGATAGCGTCAGAGACGCTTTCAACGATTCTATACTCAGCTGTTTAGCGCTTTGTCACGTCATGACGTCACAATAATCACAGGCGACCTCAACGCAACGGTGGGCTCTGAATACAGCATAATGCCAGGGGCACTCGGTCATCACGGCATAATGTGAAAGACAACGGTAATTGTCTGCTAAACTTTTGCGCGACAAACAGACTCATCGTCGCCGGTGCCCTATTCCGTCATTAACGAATTCCTGAAACCACCTGGACACCCCACTGCGGAGGCTTGGGCACCCAACTGGACACTACGTACTTCTCAGCCGCAAATGGTGCTGTTCGTTACTTGAAACTTGGTACATTGGGTCTAATTACTATATAGTCGTAGCAAAACTGCATCTAAAATTAGCCGTATCAAATAAACGTCATCTGATTTAAATACACCACCTTCAAGATGGATGGAGTTGTGCTGTTGGCCAGCCAAAACAAGGATGAGATTTATTTTAGAGCCAGATTTATTTTTTTAACAAGGAAGTGCCGATGTTGTTGAGGCATAGAGACTAGACAGATTGCACAATTTCTTTGGCGAAAAACGTAGCTGGGAAAGGGAAGGACAGTCAATTTGCGCCAAGGTTAGGAAGGACACTTTATTCATCTGAGAACAGATGCAGCAGGTCAAAAATGAACACTTGCAAAACTCTACTACGGCAATTCATCATTGCATCGTTCGTGCAGTCAATTAAAGCAACAGTCAGGACAAGGAAATTTACCTGGAGGGTGAAATCAGTAAAATCGATAAGGTAGCCAGAAAGGGTGACCGGTAGGGGTTTTCCAGCTGTACAAAAGTACAGACCACGGTCTCATGTATCCAATACGCTCAGAGTGTTCCACTGGCAGATAGGAAGTAACGCCTTAAGAGACAGACTGATCACTTCCAACAGCTGTTCATAAGATTCCTA